CTCAGCTCTAAAGAAAAATCCATCCCAAAATTTCAGGAAAATGGGTGGATTTAGGATGTATAGTATTGAGTGAGTTCACCTAATCTCAGAAAGAAAAATGATCTCGTGTTCTCCCTCCAATGCAGAACATAGAAAATACATAATGTATACGCACATACATGTCTACGTAAAAATGAATATACTTGCGGGTACAATGTAACATGTAGAAAGGAGAACAAGAAAGGCTAAATATTGGGAGGAGCCAAAGGCCTGAATGCAGACAATGGACATGAGCTTTGCTAAAGGATATAGAGCTAAATTGTTTCTCTACTTCTAACTCTGTCAGGGATTTTTTATTTTCACTGGAGAGTGTCTAAAAATACATTCACTAGCAAAAGTGTAAAATCCAACGTAAAGTTCCACAGTTTCTATCCCAAATGTTACTCTACCTCTTTAGAAGTTCACCAATATGTGCAGACTTTGGGTCTGGATAACCTTTAAAATTATTTTGTTTTATGTGTATGAGTATTTTGCTTGCATGTATGTATGTATATATGTACACTTACATGTGTTTCTGGTGCCCACCTAAGCTGGAAGAGGGCATAGGATCCCCTGGAACCGGGATTACAGGTGGTTGTGAGCCACCGTGTGGGCGCTGGGAACCAAACCTGGCTCCTCTGCAAAAACAAATGCTGAGCCAACTCTCCAGGTCCGGGGAATTTTGGTGTGTAATTTTTGTAAGTTTTTTAAAATTATAAAGCTTAGCCAGACAGTGGTGGTGCACGCCTTTAATCCCAGCACTCAGGAGGCAGAGGCAGGTGGATCTTTGGGAGTAGGCCAGCCTGGTCTACAATAGCTAGTTCCGGGACAGGCACCAAAGCTACAGAGAAACCCTGTCTCGAAAAAAAAAATTATAAAGCTTATTAAAGAATGCTAAAAAAATGGGAAATAAGAACATAAAAGTTTCAAGGAGAAAATGAAAAAATATAATAGGAATTATAAATGAGATAAAACTGTGGCCAGCTGCAGTGGTACATGCCCAAGTTGTCAGACTCTGGCAAGAGGTGTTACCCTCTGAGCCATCTTACTGCCCCACAAACTCTATCTCATTGGATTTACTTATTCTGAAGATTTCATGTAAATATATCATAATATTGACGTAGAATATTTGTTTAACTACACAAAACTGTGTTGCATTTGTTTAAGTATGTCAAGATGTGTTGTATTTGTTTTTGCTGCATTTGTCTAATTATCTCAAGCTGTGCTGCTGTTTTACCTTGCCTGCCTAAGGCACCTGATTGGGCTAATAAAAAACTGAACAGTTATTAGTGAGGGAGGAGGTGTAGGCAGGACTTCTGGGCAGGGATAGTAAGTAGGAGAAGGAAGAAAGAAAAAGGAGTTGACAGGGAGGCACCAGGGGCCAGCCAGTCAGACACAAAGAAGCAGGAAAGCAGGACATACAGAATGAAAGAAAGGTAAAAAGCCTTGAGGCAAAACGTAGATGAACAGAAACAGGTTAAATTAAGTTAAAAAAGCTAGTGGGCCAAGCCTAACCTAAGCATTCATAATGCTAACCTGGCATTCATAATAAATAATGAGTCTTCATGTCGTTATTTGAAATCTGGTTGGCAACCCAAAGAAAGTTCCAACTATCTATTATATTCTACATAATATATTGTATTTTGTAACTGTCTTTTTTCACCCAGGCTTAATTTCTTTCTTTCTTTCTTTCTTTCTTTCTTTCTTTCTTTCTTTCTTTCTTTCTTTCCTTCTGAGATAGGGTTTCTCTGTGTAACCCCTGGCTGCTCCAGAACTTGCTCTGTAGACCAGGTTGGCCTCGAACTCACAGAGATCTGCTTGTCTCTGCCTCCTAAGTGCTGGGATTAAAGGCGTGTGCCACCACTGCTCAGTAAATGTTTTCAATTTTACCTTGTTTTAAATGTTCCTAGTCTCAAGAGAGAACACCCATATTATAAACGTATTATTCTGGCTGCAAAGTTTTAAATAAAGACATTAGGAAGAGGTTTAAACAAAGACAGGAGCTAACGAGTGAGCGGTAAGATGGCTCAGGGAGTAAATATGACTGCCATCTTATCACGTGTCCCTGGGACTGGAAGAACCAAACCACATGCAAACAAAGATGAACTGCAAAGCAAAGGTCCCCAGACCCCTTTTCTAATTAAATTCCAGCACAGGTAGCTCCAGCACTCAGACCTGCTGAACTCATACACACAATACTTTCCCATCACAACTCATAAGCATGAAACTCACAGGATATCTTCAGAAATGCAGCTTCTGTTGTTTTGTTTTGTTTTGTTTGAGAAAGGGTCTCACTGTGTAGCCCTGGCTTTCTTACAACTTGCTTTGTAGATCAGGCTGGCCTCAAACTCACAGAGATCCTCCTACTTCTGCCTCCTAAGTGCTAGGATTAAGGGCATGTGCCACCGCATCTGGCTTTGGAGACACGCCTTGAGACAGCCACAGAGGAGGCTTGTCCTATCGCAGGTCTGCTGCTGACCCTGAGAAGCAGTCGTGTAGGAAGAATCAGTGTTGGCACCTGCTCTCAGAATGTCAGTGCCAGAGGAGCTCAGGAATGGCTATCTCGTGAAAGCCGGAGGGAGCTACCTGCGTAGCACAAGCAGGGTTACTTGTATTGAATGTTTATGTGGAGTGGCTCTTGCAGGGTGTGTGCATGCATGAGTGAGTATGTGTGCTTGTGTGCATATGTTTGTGTGTATGCATGTGCAGGCGTGCATGCACGCGTGCATGCGTGTGTGTGTGTGTGCGTGTGTGTGTGCGTGTGCGTGTGCGTGTGCGTGTGTGTGTGTGTGTGTGTGTGTGTAGAAGCGGGGAGAACATGGAGAGAAGGACCAAAACCTTTCTGGCTGCAGTTAAAGGAAACCTGGCTAAGGGTTAATAGAACACACGGCGGGGGTGGGGTGAGGTAGGGGAGTGGAGAAGGTGGATGGCTCAGTGGTGGAGGGCCCTGGCTGTTCTTCCAGAGGGCCTGGGTTCAATTCCCAGCACCCATATGGCCGCTATGACTGTCTGTAACTCCTTTTCCAGAGGATCTGACACCCTCACCTAGACACACATGCAGGCAAAACTCCAAGGTACATAAAATAAATCATTAAAACGGAGAAGACACAGAAACCTTACTGACTCTTCCAGACTTGTGACTAGATGAGCCAAAGTGTGGGGAAGCAGGTAGTGAGCACCGTCAAGCCGTGGGGAAGGACTCCGGGCTGAGACAGACCACAATCCCCCAGCTGTCCTGGTACTCTACCAAGCCACACTTATGGGCAGCTCAGGGAGGCTGGCAGGATGCGGGAAAAGGGCAAAAAGATGACAAGTTCCATAGGTGGAAAATAATTTGAAGACTGAGGATGAGGTTGTGGGGGAAGATGAGGTGAAGAAACTTCCAGAGAGCCTGGGAGAAGAGGAGAGCCCCTCAAAGGTAAACCCTTCTGCCCTCAGTGACCCCCTTCCTGGAAGTGATGGGCAGGAGGTGGGCAGAGGACAGAGCTGCCCCTCCCCCGCAGCCTACCGAGAAGCCTGGCAACCATAGAGTAGACTAGAGGGTTATCAGCCATGCTAACAGACAACCTTCATTCTCTGTTACAGTGAGCCTGAGTTCCATCCAGTTAGAGAGATCTGCCCATAGAGCCTGAGAAGCCTGTGAAATGCCCCTTATTTTAGGAAAAAAGGGTGGCCAGCAACAACTGTGACTTAAAGCAAAGATATGGCGGCGGGGGGGGGGAGGGGGGAGTCTCAGGTTTATTACAGAAGTGCTGGACCTATCATAGTGAAGGAACTTCAAGACAACCCTGAGCTACGGCTGATGTCCTCTCTGTAATTCCGGGCCTAAGGCCCGAGACAGAAGGGTTTGCATCCTGGGCTATATACAGTGAGTTCCAGTGTGAGACCCTGTCTCAAAAATAAAGCATGCCAAGGAAACAAGAAGGGGTGGGGACAGACCCTAGGCTGCTTTCAAGTTTGCCCAGAATTGGTCTCCAATTCCCTGGAGGCCTAATTGGACCTCTTTGGTTGCCAGGCAGCCAGTGATTTCTATGAGTGATTTTCTCCATAGTTTTGTTTAGTAGACGGGTCCCCAGAAGCTGTGGAAGTTCTGAAGGCTAGAGCCAGTCGGCAATTTCATAGCTTAGCCGCATCTTAGATTGTCCTCCAGTTTCTTATCCCTAATGCCCAGGCCTTGACTTCCAAGCTGGACTTTCACCAGGTGACACACATTAGTGCGTCAGAGCCAGCTGGGATCAGCCTGGAACTAGCCTTGCGCCTGATTCATCCAGGAAGCTGAAGCCACCCACAGAACAAAGCACCTTGACACCTCGGCTCCTACTAGGTTTGGAGCGAGAAGCGCCCTGGTCAACAGAAGGCGGAGAGCCGCTCGTTTGGTCTCTCTCCTATTCCTGCTTGCAGGATTCCTTCATTTGTTTCCTTTGCCTGTCTCTGGGTCAGAAGCTGTTATTTTGTTTCCTTGGTTTGCTTTGGTGAAGGGGGTTGCTGAGGGAATTGAGCTGTAAAAGACAGACAGTAGGAGCTTCTATTAGAAGGAAATTCCAGAAGTGGAACCAGTGTGGGTAGGAACTATATAGAATTAAGGAGTCACAAGTTGATGGGGCCACCCTCTCCCCAAGAGATGCCACCTGTCCATAGTTTAGGCAGGCCCTGCTGTCTTCCTGGAATAGACCCTACAACCCTCACTTTCTGGTTCCTTGGCTCTTTATGGCTTTAGACACTAATTCATGGACATTCGAAGATCACTTGGCTTTACTTCCAGCCCCTTCCCGACCTCCTAACAGCAAAACAAAAAGCGTGGGAATTCCCTTCCCGAATGAAGCAACGGTGCTGCTTTAACAGAGAAGGGAGGAAGAGGGCGCTGACTCAGACTCTCTTACTATTGGCTGCCGCTGGGGATCCCACCTTAGGAATTGGCCTGGGCAGATCCCGCCTCCTCTTATGATTGGCTGAGCCTGGGGCATATAACGGGGCCCGTTCGGCCTCCGCCTCAGTTGGAGGCACGCTGGGAACCGGCCTCCTGTCTCCCCGTGGAAACTTCAGGAGTGACCTCCTCCTCGCTGAACCCGAGTCCCAGTCCCTTGGAGGCTGCAGCCATGAAGGAGAGACGGGCGCCGCAGCCGGTGGTGGTCAGATGTAAGCTCGTGCTGGTGGGGGACGTGCAGTGTGGGAAGACGGCGATGTTACAGGTGCTAGCGAAGGACTGCTATCCCGAGGTGAGCTAGCCGCCTGCGCGGGGTCGATTTCCACCTGCCCGGGAGAACCGTCTCCCCCACCCCCAGGCCGACCCACCCTGCCTGCCTTCTGGCTGAAGGACTGCCCTGCCTTGCTTCCCCTGAGACCTGACCCACTTCTGCCGCCCGGTCTGCTCCTTCTCACCTCTATAGCCATCATATCCCCTCCCACTTTGCTTCATTCCTGGGACCGGGAGGCTCTGGAGGGCCTCGGCTTTATTCTTGACGCAGTACCTGCCCGGCCCTCCTGGAAGGCTCTGTGAGGGTGGCTCTAGGCATCAGGCTGCTGCTTTCTGCTCATCACCTGTGCCAGGGGACTAGAGGGCAGAAGAGAGAGGTTAGAATTGCCTTGTGGCTCTGAAAATGGGGCACAAATCTAGGGATGAGAAGAAAATGTGAATGTGTGTGTTTTTCCGAGTCAGGATGTAGGGGGCTTGTCCCAGGCTGGGGAGCAAAGGCCAGTGCCTCTCCGGTCCTTTTCTCCTGTCTCCACACAGTTCCTCCTGCCCCACGTATTCCCTTCCTCTGGCCCCTCATCACCTGACACTTCGGTGTTCCAGCGCCTGTGTGTGAGTGGCTGCTTGTGTAGTCAATGCTAGGTATGGGTTCTGAAGGCGTGCGAGCCTGAGGTGCGGGGTCCTGAGGGCACGCGAGTCCAGATGTGAATGTTTCTTCTCTCCTCGCAGACCTACGTGCCTACCGTGTTTGAGAATTACACAGCCTGTTTGGAGACCGATGAACAGCGAGTGGAGCTCAGCCTCTGGGATACTTCAGGTAAGACCGCAGCCGCAAAGGCTCCGTCCTACCGCCACTGGCTAGGGGAGAAAAATCGCCTTTGAGGACAGAGGTGATGGAAGAAGAAACGTAAAGATTCTTTGGCTGGGGGCATCGACTCTCTTAAATGATCCGGGAAGTGGCGAACAAACCTCAGGAGCCATTCAGGCCTCTGGTCTAGTTCCATTATTCAGAGGGCTGGGGAAGGGACCCCCTGAGTACTTCCCAGAGCACCAAACAGGTCTTCCCCATTCTCTCTCTCTCCCTCTCTCTCTCTCTCTCTCTCTCTCTCTCTCTCTCTCTCTCTCTCTCT